ACTTTACGTCCCCCAACCCGTTCAACATTTCTTGTCCACCCAATTCCGTCTGCAAACTTTCGCCGTTTCAGTCTGCAGAAGGAGGGAGAGATAGCCATCTTGGTGGAAAGGTAGAGATGGCTAACTTTTGCCCCTTTCTACAGGTACGTGTTCGCACACATAGTCTTTAGCTACTTCCCCATCTTATTTAGACGTTTTTTAATACTAATTTTAAAGTCTAAATTGACTCAGGACGTGTCGAATATATGCTGCTGAAGAGTAACAGGGACCCATTGGTTCTATAGCTTGGTAATTGTCTTGCACTTTGTTAACTTCCCTTCCTGGTAAGATGACTTTCAGTACTTCAAACCCTGCGTTCCTAACATTCCGAATGTATTCCTGGATTCGAATTAGGTTGAATTCAGGCTTAAGGCAATTCACAACGTCTTTAAACTAGTATAATTTCCTTCCGTTCGGGCGGCATTATTTTATTAATAGCCTGCCCAGAAGATAGATTAGCCCCTGGGCTTATGTACTTTAAACCAATCCCTGCTACATTAAGTATTACCGATTATACTTCCCAATTATTGATCGATCTTCGTCGTACGACGGCTTGTCTGGACCTAGAGCGGAACTCTGACAAACCTGAACGCCTACGGTCTGTATTGCAACATGGCGAGGTCGGCTAACGCGGTTCTGTTGCATCTAGCGCTGACGAGGTATTTAGATACATGCACCCGATATAAACAATCTGGGAAGTGTTCAGTCTAAAATGCCGAAGTCGTGGCGCATCTACAACCTGGCGTAATTGTTCTACTTTGACTGTGGGTGGTCGAAAAATCGCTTGTCTTACAACGAACTTGTTAGTCTCTCTACTCTTCTTTGATTACAATCCACGCTACACACGCTTCGGTTCCAATTCTTTCTTCTCTGACCGCGGAAAAGGCAGGAAGCTACTTGGAGCCAAATTGCATAAGTAGTAATTTCAGCCTTTCAGTACTTTGGACGAACTCAACTATCCTATTAAGTTATCCAACCCCCCTTTCGGCCTTTTGGACTAATATGCAATTAAACTCTAGCGTCCGTCTAATATGGCTAATTGTTTCTCGTTGCCTGCACTCTTATGATGCTGTCTAAACCGATCAGTAAAATGAACCCATACTAAGATCAGAAAGCATGCCTTGGTGGCATTCTCACATGCCGATGTCCTTTAGTATATATACTTATATACCTACTATATGTAATTTCGTAGGCGTAGTTATATTTATTACTGCTCTCAAAACCCCGGAAAGCTTTAGCTTCCTGTGGGTACTTTTAGTTTTTATTAGTTTTAGTTTATTTTATTAGTTAAATTTTAGTTAGCTTAATTTTTAATTCAATTTAGTTTTTTAAGGAACGTATGGTTGCTTGTCGAATTATCGTGCTACAACATCTGTCCAAATGCATGAGAGACTATTGTGAGTTAAAAAACGGGGAAAAGCCTATCTTTCATGGTTTTATTTTAATCTCTATATTTCGATACAGAGTCGATATTGGTTTGTGGCCTATTTGAAAGTACCTTTTTGCGCAGATTTTACTTCCTACTACTTTTAGTTTTCATTTTAATTATCGCGCGCAAATTTTTGGTTATTTAGATAATTATTTCCTTTTATTTTCTGCTTTTATACGCTAAATTTTTAATTTGTTTTTTCTTTCCTGTGACATGACCCAATCATAGAATCCCATAGAACACCGCTCTCGTAAGACACAATGATGGGGCTAGCGATATCTAAGTACCTCGGCATATGAGAATGTTGTCCAAAAGTCTTTTCTATCTTAACTCCCTTGGGTTGTGTGATCAAGTATTCTGTTTATTAGGAAATAACATGGGAGCTGCAGCAAGGTGCGACTAGCAGATCATCCGTCTGCACGGATCCTCGGAATGCATTTCGTGAGTCGGTTTTTTGCGTTTGAATTCTCTATGCCTTTTTTGGTTAAAATTCCTCTTACATTCGACCTTTGTGTCTTGACCCTAAAACCCTGTACATCACACCCGCCAGCCTCTTTAGGTGAGAATTACAATCTTGAAGTCTACGACCAACATGCAAAGTGCTTCTCCACAGCCCCAAACTGGAGACTGACTGATAACAAGACTGTCTTTCATCCACCTATTATCGGCGCTGCCTGTTTCAAGGTAGGTCAGTCAAACGGTCACTATTAGTAGAGAATGGGTCCACCTGTAACCTTGCCTTGTTGCAGAGTGAAAAACTCCGCAAGATCAACAACTTAGAACTTGTAATTCTGTTGAGTCCTCTTCCCCATTATAGTAGCACAGTATATGTCGCATTGTTTTTGAAAGTCCCCCTGTAGAATGACTGTACTCATGCTTGTTCTGGTATTTTTTTCCAACTAGAGAAGTTGTTTTTTTTTGAGGCTTGACCTAGTCCTTTTTCTCTCTCACAGTACCGCTGTTCACCGGATGAGGGTGGACTCATTATTCAGCTTGCCGGTGGGCTTGAGGTTCCCTGTCCAAAGGCGGAACTGGAACAGAGGTTCGACGTCTGCATTCCTGGTCACAATCTCACGGTGTCGGGTGCCGTCCTGTGTCCGCCGTGTCTGGACTTCTGTGAGGTAATCCGTCCGTCCAGTTTATTACCCAGGGCTTTATTGCTTACTACACCTGCACGCAATAAAAGAGTCAACCCGGTTTCCGGCCAACCTCTTCATTATGTATAAAATATGGATTAGGTCCAGATATTTATGCCCCCCCTCCCCCCAGCACTTTGGTCTCAGACCGCCTTTAGTACGGGACTGCTGCTAAAAGGGGTTTTACAGATGCAATCTTTTAAATTAAGTGACAATTCGAACGATATGTAGTAAACCCGAAAGTCATACTTATACCACCTTGTTTTAATGAATTAAATAACTTTAAATTCCACCCCGCACAGTATATAACTTAGTCGGCGGAAAACCGTACAATCTGAAACACAAGATGCTGTGCACCTCTTTTCGGGAGTGAACCCGGCAACTGGTTCGAGAACGGAATGAATAATGAGCTTTTGGTAAGGCTGTGAAAGTCCTACCCCTAAAATTTGGTGTTAAAAGTGGTCTTAAGCTGAAATGTTGTTATGGTATATCTGTATTCCTATCCGATCGAAATATGTCAGCGGTTTGAACTTCACACTTATTAGCAGAACTCCGTATCATATGGCTCATGGCTCGCAGTTGCAGAACAGGTGCATCCAGTTTGTGGGACGTGCCTCTACCGACCGTATGGTCCCACCGCCAATTCTAGTGCTATTCGAGTAATCAAAGGCCCTACGTCGAGGATTGTGAGGACTTGGCACAGTGCTGCGTACGATCCAGAACTCACATCAGCTTCGTCTAGTGAGGGTTGGTTTTATGCCAACAGTGAGGACTGGGATACCTCTCCCCCGCGTGCCAGTTAATAAATATTTGCAACCGATCTCGAATAGGCGCACTTTTTTGGCTTCGATTAAAACTTCTGCGGCCTCACCATTGCGCGCAGACACGTTCGGCAGGTTTGGTGATGAGCTCGTCAGCCCCCCATGACTCTTAGTTGCATCTCTGTCCAGTAAAGTGTAATGTTGAGATCTAGTAATCAGGTGATCATCGATTGCTGACAATTCTAACAATGAAACCCCGCGCAAGGTGAAAAGGACTTGATGGGATACTTCCTCTACACAGATCACTTTTATTCTCATAGTCAATGGTTGTGCTAACTGCTTTTTCAGGCGAAGTTTGTCAGTGATTTAGGCCTCTTTTTCTGGGATGTGGAGAAACGAACTGAGGGCTGCATCAACTCACTCCTATGGGTGACTTTGGCCTCCCAGACTTGAACCATAATCCTCCTTAACCAGGTCATTACAGTGAAGGAATATTATCTACATCAGATAGAGTCTATTGTCCCAGCGATGGAGTTGTCTTCTTCTCAATTATCTACATCCTTCTAACAATGACTCATTCTTCTCAGGAGCTTTGAAACGGATACGCCGGTTTCCAATGTGTGGGACGGTCGCGTTATCCGTCCATTGTTAGGTGCCAAGGAAACGATACAGACGCGTTTGACTCGTTTGCCAGCATCGGAGTGCCTTTAGGATCACCGTGCAGGTTTTGTTTTAGACTTAAGGGGCGTGAAATGGCTGGTTGCATCTCTGTGCAATGCAGTCTGTTGATGCGATCTATCAGTACATCCCAATTTCGGACGTTTTCCATACCACAAGTCCAAAGTATTCATAGTATCTCGGTGTATATAGCTTGAGTGGTGGTTTCACGAACCAAATGGAAAGTAAAACTATAGTAGTTGATTGTTCACCGATCCTTTTTTTCAGGATGTACCCATCCTGGTTGATGCCTTGCGATTTCGGACCAACCGAGTGTGTGTCTTCGCAAGGCTACTAATTGTAATGTTACTGATTGAGTTTTAGTTACATATCTTTATGTTATAGTAGTAGTATTCCGGCAAAGGCAGGCAACCCTAGAATAGCT